GAGATCACAGGTGTGTGCTACCACACCGGGCCCTGGAGGGCCTCTTGCACTTGTTGCTACCAGGCTGAGACGTTGGGTAGAGTCAACCCTGAGGGGTTATCAAACTCTTTACAGGTTGATTTTTATCACCAGCTGTGTGACCTAGGGCAAGTCACTTTAAGTTGGTTGTAAGCCTAAGTCACCTGCAGTATCCTTGTGCTGAGAGCCTAAATAAGGTGCTACTGAGCTCACACAGGGAGGCAGAGGGCCAAGCTGAGAACGTCCACCCTGTCCGTCAGTCCAAACTGGGAAGCAACCCCTGGAGGACAGCATGGGGAGCATCTGTAGGAACTGAAACACAGGGGACCTCCCCCACTGCCCTCCTCGACCTGGTGCAGTTCTAAGACTCAGAGCCTCACGTGCTTACCCAGACCTGCTGTTCAGTGAAAATCAAATCAGCTCTACCACCAGCCTCTGTCTCTCACACTGGGACTTCCAGCTCCCCTGAGATCAGATTTTAGTTGTGCTTTAAAGCCTAGAGCTTCCAGGATACCAGCAAAGTGACCAGAACTAGTTTGCTTTACTTGTTTTTTGTCCACTGTATGGAGACCTTCTGACCTGGAGATTAGGAAAATAAACAGCAAGGTGCCAGCCTTCGGGGACCTGCACAACTCTCGATTCTCACCTGAGCTCTGACCAAGCCAAAGACTGTCCCAATGTATTGTCTACAATGGTCCAGATGCTAACCTCGAGGCCACGTCTGAAAAGGTTTGCGAACACTGTCCAACATGGTCCCCACGCTCCAGTTAGGCACCAGTGGCTGGGGCTTCCCCACAGACTGAGCACGCCTGTCCGTGGGCAGCAGGGCCCCGCCTGTCCTCCAGACAGCCCCGGGCAGGGAGGAGGCAGAAAGCGGGAGCATGGGTGGGAGCTGTGTACTCCTGTCTCCTTGCCCCAAGATGGGCCTCTGCTCTCAAGTGGACACAGCCAGGCTGGTGGACAAGCCGCACCACAGTGGACACACTTCCTTCAAGCGAGCAGGTGGCCATCCTGGGGGTTAACATGCCAGGAGTTAAAATGAAGGAGAAATAAAACAAGCACAGTTCTGTTCCCGCCAGAGCTCAGGGAGAGAGGGAGGCACTGAGTGAACACACATGAATCCACTGGATGGGGTGAATACACAGAATATTCTAGAAGCTGGAGCAGTGAAACGTGCTGAACTCATCCTCACACGAGAAGCACACCGAAGGGGACTCCATCCACTGAGCCACCATTAGGCCTCTGAGTTCCAGGAGACAAGCCACTGAATGGGGAAAATACTTCTACTTACTATCTTACGGTTTCAAGATTTTAGGTGCTGGGTCTGGTACAGTGTGGCACATGCCTGTTATCTCAGCAACTCTGGAGGCTGAGGAAGGAGGATCACAAGTTCGAGGCCAGCCTCAGCAACTTAGCAAGGCCCTAAGAAATGTGCTGATGGGGGCCATGGTTGGGTACTCTGCTATAAAAGCAGAACCAATCCTGCCCTGAGTTAAAGACCCTGTCTCAATAAATAAAAAGGGCTGAAGTTGTAGCTCAGTGGTAAGCACTCCTGGGTTCAATCCCTGGTACCAAAAATAAAATTTAAAAAGAAACAAAAAAATG